TGTACTATTTACGGTGTGGTAATCTCTGCATGTTTTTTTTAACGAGTACATACATGTAGATTGTGTAGCCACAACAGTTTTGGGATTTAATATTTTAAGATTTGCGAGGTCGAAATAAAATGGAAGATTGGTCAAGATTTGTATTGTTTTTGACAATTATTAACTGATAATCTAAATAATACTTTATCAATTAATAATACAACAAACAAATAAGTTCCCAAAAGAAGATTGTATTTTTGAACCCTTTATAGAAAAGACAGGAAATCGTGGAGTGACTAGGCCAACATTGTCAAAGACAGGAAGCTGTATTATCTGATGATGGGTGCCGATGAAATTTGGGATTTATATTGTAATGAACAATAATGAAGCGTGACCAATTTATTCATTCCTTAAACATCGTGTTCATGTTTCATTTGCAAGATAAAATAACACCCTGCATTTCCCGACCGACATGTATTTACCCCAAGTATCATGACATTCAAGGCATTTTAATGGGTATCATTTCTACATGTATACCCGTGACAAATCAAAACCAATTTCGTCCAACAAACGAAAACTAAGCAAAAATGCCCTGGCTCGAGTCACGTGGACCTAAAAAAGATATTAGTCAACAGAATAGATCTTGATAGACTTTGTTCCAATCCAAATGTCAAAATATTATGTCCGACCGAAAATTTAAAATGTCGGGCACAATGTTCATCCAGCCTGACATGGTTTCAGACACACATTTGAAAGTTTTTTCCAGGCTTGTATCTAGGTAACAAATTCCATATCAAACCCGGAAAATGATTATTATTTTAACATAAATGAATAATAATGTATCCAAAATTTAGAAACAAGCCCTTTGCTAACATTTACCAATGATGGCTTAGATTTTGACAGTTCCGTCTTCATCAATTTATAGAACTCGCAATATCAATGATGTTAATATTAAAAGGTGTGACAGTTTTTGCAAACAAAGGTCAATCGACTCAATAGTCTGTAAAATTACGATTTAGCGCCTGATTCATCGATAATTGTGATAGTATTTATAAGTCAAAAGGTATTTATTGTATCTTTATTTATCTTTGGGCAATTCCACAGTAACGGATGTACATTTTGAACTTGTCATATTTTTATTACTTCCAATATTATCTAAGCATGGATAATTAACTGTTTTTATATAGCATTAGATTTAAAGACATAATCTTTGAATGGCATTTAGCAATTGAACATAATATAACACAACAAGTTCTATGGATAACAATCACTACATCATATACACACAATGTTCGGACAAGAATTCACTGGTTGTTATCAAGCATACAAATTACAAATGAGGAAAAAATTGTGACAGTGTTATATATAGGTACATTGAACAATAATAAGAGAAACCATAAATTAGCAATCATGAAACTCTAGTTTAATTGGTTATCAATATAGTTATATATAATATAACGATTGTTATCCATAGAACTGTGTTGTGTTATATTAAAGACATATGTTTTAAGTATCAATTAACATGATTTTTATACGTCCACATTGCCGTCGCCCCTGTATGTGTGTGTGTGTCTTTGTGTTGCCTACAGGCCACAATTCTTGAGTGATCATCATGAAACTTTACATACTTATTCCTTATACCCTAAGGATGATCCCATTGTTTTTAGTGCATGCCCAACCCCCAGGCGCAGAGCCACATCCATTTTTTCTTTGTGTCTCTGTGTGTTGCCTACAGGCCATGCTTCTTAATGGATCGGCTTGGAACTTGGGATATGTAAGTTTCATGGATATCGGTTCATAATTGCGATCTGCAGTCACCTGATATCTCGGAAACTGCTATCTGGAAGTGGCTGAAATTTTGGCTACTTTGAGATGTTATTAATGTTATCATAATCTGTGAGATTCATTGACATTGGTTGATTATTGCTGACTGTAGCCGTGCCACATCAAATGTGTGGTAACCCCCATATCTCGGAAACAGAAAGTTTGGCTACTCAGATATCAATGTTACAATCTGTAAGTTTCATTAAAATCGGAAAATAATAATTGCGATCTGTAGTCGTAAGGCTATTTTGAAATTCTTGCTTACCATATGTGGCAAATAGCCAATGCCAAGTTTTAATTCTTGTAAGAAAGGGCAGAATACTACATACATGTCATTGTGTTCTGTATGATCATTACTCATATCTGCATTCTTATAACCAAGTAAATTAGAAATTATTTTGGTAACGGACATACAAATTGCTAACCCATTACATGAGATATGTAAACTTTCGAATAATTGGACTGATAATAATAATAATTAATTCATTTGAATTAAGGAGCAGTTACTTTCCTAAAAACATTACTTCTTGAATAAAATACTGTGACCCTAAAATTTTGGTAACGACGTACATTTTTACCCTAACGGATGTATATCTATGAAACCTCATGTGGTTCAGAGAATTTTGGTAAATGTTTTCTTTTTACGGTCGTAATAACAAGAATGGTTGCTGTTCGCTTTAAATATGAGTTTTTAAACAGTTCCATAAATAAATAAATATGAATGAGAGAGATAAAATGTAAATATTTGGATAAATGAAATACTGTGAAAAGTAACAGACGTATATCTATGAAAACCGAAGGTGTTCTGAATTCTTTTTAATACCATTTCGTTTTATGATCATATTCATTGTAATAAGGAATGGGTTATTCTAGCTTTAGATATGAGGTTTTAAACAATGCCATATATAAATATGAATGAGAGAGAGGAAAATTTAAATATTTGGTAATGGACGTACTGTATTTTCATAGCGATACATGTATTTTTCAGTGTTGGTTAATTTCACAAAAATATATTATTTTTATATGGCCACATTGAAATGTGGTCGTATATTGTCGTCTGTCCGGCGTCCACAATTGCTTGACTTTTAAATTCATACACAGTGTTTTCAGGTCATGAGACAAAGAAGCCTATTGATTTTCACCGATTTCCAATAATTACTGCCAGAGTTATAGCCCTTAATTACTTTAAAAAATCTTGTGGATGCTCTAGAGACCAATGTTTAAGGTCATGAGACGAAGAAGCCTAGTGATTTTCAATAATTTCCAATAACTAGTGCCAGAGTTATAGCCCTTGATTACTTTGAAAAATCTTGTGAATGCTCTAGAGACCAATGTTTGAGGTCATGGGACGAAGAAGCCTAGTGATTTTCAATGATTTCCAATAATTACTGCCAGTTTTATAGCTCTCGATTACTTTGCAGTATCTTGTGAACGCTCTAAAGGCTAAATTTTTATCATACAATTAATTTTAAATTTATACACAGTGTTTAGGGTCATGAGACGAAAACACCTATGTATTTTCAAGGATTTCTAATAATTACTGCCAGAGTTAAGGCCCTTGATTATTTCAATAGAATCTTGCTGATGCTCTACAGTGATCATTCGATTGACTTTAGATTGATACAGAGTTTATGGTCGTGAGATGAACAAGTATATTATAGAGATTTTCAATGATTTTTGATAACATGAACAGATAAATCCATGGTATTATGTGATTTGTATACTAAACGTTAGCATGGGGCAAAACTAGAAGCCAAACAAATTCTAATGATTTTCTGATAATTATAATAACTTAATGAGTTTCATCTTTGAGTTTTTACTCTAAATCAGATTTATGTATACATGTATTATAAATGATTCATTACCGACAAACGGAAAAAGTATGCAACATAATACTCCTCACTGTGTTTGGTTTGATTAGATCTAGTCCCAAGCAAACACTGCTGTAATGAAAGCAAATTTGTGTTCCAAGTGATGACTGGTCAATAGTCCGATTGACAACCAATAACTAACTGCGTAACAATATCATTTGGGTTTAAACAGAGCTCCAGATATGTGTACATAATGTTATGTCATGACTAATGAAATTTATTACGCCCAATTAACTGGTGCATTGCAGAATATTGCAGAAGAACTAATTGTATGACAAACGAGGCTATTAATGTAAACAGTACTGCTTGGAGACGAGCAATACTTTTGCCGTTTTTAATAACTTAAATCACTGTCCCAAGTTTTAGGGAAAACCCCAGATTAAACACAGGACTGTCATGTTGCTGTACTTTGAAGAGATTCGATTGAACAGGAAGAATAGACACACTCCCTCAAAAGCTCAAGTATCAGAAGTCAATCCAGCAATGGCCAGAGAGGGATTTCTCGGGCCATTTCTTCAGGAATATGTAATGACAGATGAGTTTGAATTTCATTGAAATCAGACTGAAACTAACGACAATATGGTCACTCCCTGTGCGCAAAAACTGGTGGTGTAAAAGTATGAATACCAAGGATTTGAACACTCTAAGGGTCACAATTTATACCCGATTTTGATGAAACTTAAAAGGATACATGTTAAAAAATGTTAAAATATTCGCTGTTACACCATAACGATGGTTGAGTTTGAATTTTGATGTTGATGAAACTTAAACTATTTATACACATGTATCTCAAAGATCTCGGTTCCTTTTGATTTTGAAGCGTGTCGGACTGTAACATCCAGGGTTTTGGCCCCTTATTTGTACAAGATAGCTTTTTTAGTCAGAGATACAAGTTATTTATGATTAGAAATACACAGCCATGCTTCTGTAGACTTGGGTAGGATGTGAACATAAAAACAATATAGATACATGTACATGTAGTTGCTTTGCAGAACAAAGGGTATAAAGCATTCTCTGACTTATCTTAATTTCTATACTCCTTCTTGAAAGAATAGAAATACCGATATTGGTTCTTGTACACGTAAAATGGCATTGATAGAATAATTTTTCATATAATTTTTCGATAAGTTATTATTAATAACCACCTATTGTCATAATATGAATTACAAAAGTACAGTAATCACAGTATTGTGAAATATGATGAATCACATGGAAACTACATTATTGTGAAAGCGGAAACCAAGATAAAACAACTTTAGAATTTCAAAACATTCAGCATCTTCTTCTTCTTGGCTTGTTATAGCAATAATGTATATATCATTATAGGCAAACCACAAGATAGGTGATGAAAAAGTTTCATTTTTAAGCACATGATAATGTGTGTCAAAGTCAAGTCCACTGAATATCAGTTACAGGTAAGTCAGCTTTAATTTTTTTGTCCACAGAATGTCCCATTTGGAAAAGATAATCGTGATTTACAAGAATAGTACATGTACATGTATATCAAGTATATCGCCAAAAACTTCAAATATCGAAAAAAATTATCATAGAAATAGATAATAAATACACTATACAGCAGTGGAAATTAGCCGACGGCAATAAACTATAATAAAACTGAGAACCGTTCAATGTTGAAAACACTTGCGTAGTGTCCGCAGCTATTTTTCACTGCATCGTATATGCGTTACTTTTACTTTGTTTTTAGTCGACAATAAATTATCAGTTGTTACTACATGTAAAGCTTAAGCCTACTAAACGCCTGAAATTTCCCACTACCGCGACAAATTACCAGGCTATAAATAGGTTGTCATATTTTTAAAAAAGTATATTTTTAGAAAACTCTACAAAACTTAATTTCTGAAAGCAAGAATTAAACGGATCTATAAATAGATTACTGTCACTACTTACTTCCGCTGCAGGTGATATTTGAGAAGTTTCTTACACAAGGTGACAAGCAGACGCTTTATTAACATCAGCGGTTGTATTTAATTTTTATCCAAAAAGGATGTTTTGTTCATTTTGATAAATCTATATTATAAAAAAAGCAAAGTTTAAAGTGTATGAATAAAGCAATTCTTACCCACAAGTCTTACTCACACTGTAGTCAGCTTTAATGCATTTATATTTAATTTATATAATAGCAAAGTGACATATTATTGAATATCGCGATATTTAACTATATCGTTGAAAAAAATGCCAATATCGATATCGTCCCTTTTTGCGATATCGTACAGCCCTATCCTAAGCTGTTCTGGCTTGAATGAAGGTTCATCCATTTTAAGCTGTCATGATGTGACATGGTTATGATGTAAGTTATTCTTGCTTGTAAAAAATTGTGATAGTAAGCTGCTGTTCTGGTTTAAAAAAGCTCCATATAAGTTGTTTTGTTTTGGCACGGCTAAAATGACAATAGTATCTTAAGCTCCTAAGCTGTCATGGCTTGGTAAAGTTCGATTTTAACCTAAGCTGTTCTGGCATGGTAAAGGTTTATTGTAACGTAGGCTGTTATGTCTTTGTAAATATGGTCGATAGTATCCTAAGCTGTCCAGGCTTTGTAAATATGGTCAATAGTAGTAGTACTGGTACCGTTAGTCTACTTATAAAAATTCTTGATACTATCCTAAGACTATTATATTTTAACCTATCCTGGCTCAAAGTAAGGTTCACACATCCTAAATTGTTCTGGCATGAATGAAGTTTCACACATTCTAAGCTGTCATGGCATAAGAAGGTTATGCTGTAAGTTATTCTGGCTTGTAAAAAGTTGTGATAGTATCTCCTAAGTTGCTGTTTTGGCCTATAAAAGATTTATATAAGTTGTTCTGGCTCGGCAAGAATGGCGACAGTATTCTAAGCTGTGCATGCTTGAAACAATCCTGATAGTAATGTAAGCTGTCATTGCTTAAAAAATGGAAATGGTATCCTAAAAAAAGGTTGATTATATCCTAAGCTCTTTAGCTTGATGAAGGTCAATTGTAATCTAAGCTGTTTTGACTGTAAATATTGTCCTGACTTGAAATAATCCTGATAGTGTCCCATGCTTTCCTGATAGTATCCCATGCTTTTCTGGCTTGAAACAATCCTGATAGTATGCTAAGCTGATCTGGCTTGGTGAAATTGGGCGATAGTGTCCTAAGGCGTGAAAGAATTCTGATAGTATCCCATGCTTTCCTGGCTTGAAACAATCCTGATAGTAAGCTAAGCTGATCTGGCTTGGTGAAATTGGGCGATAGTTTCCTGATTGCATCCCAAGCCCTTCGAGCTTGGTAAAAATGGTGGGCGATGGTATCCTAAGCTGTCCTGGCTTGAAAAATGGCAGGCAATGGTTTAAGCTCGGTAAAGGCAACGAAATGGTCGGAAGGCAGGAGGTTGTTAAATATCTCTTGTCCAGTCAAAATCACTATTTCACAGTCTAATTCAGTCCAATGCTAAGCTTATCTGAGAGTTGTCCTGGCTTAAAATGATCCCAACGGTATCCTAAGCTCTACTGTCTGACAACAATCCTGATAGTATGCTAAGTTGATCTGGATTGGTGAAATTGGGCGACAGTTTCCTAAGGTGTGAAAGAATTCTTATAGTATCCCATGCTTTCCTGGCTTGAAACAATCCTGATAGTATGCTAAGCTGATCTGGCTTGGTGAAATTGGGCGATAGTTTCCTAAGGCGTGAAAGAATCCTGATTGCATCCCAAGCCTTTTGAGCTTGGTAAAAATGGTGGGCGATGGTATCCTAAGCTGTCCTGGCTTGAAAAATGGCAGGCAATGGTTTTAGCTCGGTAAAGGCAACAAAATGATCGGAAGACAGGAGGTTGTTAAATATCTCTTAAATATGGCTTAAAATGATCCCGACTGTATCCTAAACTCTACTGTCTGACAACAATGCTGATAGTATGCTAAGCTGATCTGGCTTGGGGAAATTGGGCGACAGTTTCCTAAGGTGTGAAAGAATTCTGATAGTATCCCATGCTTTCCTGGCTTGAAACAATCCTGATAGTATGCTAAGCTGATCTGGCTTGGTGAAATTGGACGATAGTGTCCTAAGGCGTGAAAGAATTCTGATAGTATCCCATGCTTTCCTGGCTTGAAACAATCCTGATAGTAAGCTAAGCTGATCTGGATTGGTGAAATTGGGCGACAGTTTCCTAAGGTGTGAAAGAATTCTTATAGTATCCCATGCTTTCCTGGCTTGAAACAATCCTGATAGTATGCTAAGCTGATCTGGCTTGGTGAAATTGGGCGATAGTTTCCTAAGGCGTGAAAGAATCCTAATTGCATCCCAAGCCTTTTGAGCTTGGTAAAAATGGTGGGCGATGGTATCCTAAGCTGTCCTGGCTTGAAAAATGGCAGGCAATGGTTTTAGCTCGGTAAAGGCAACAAAATGGTCGGAAGACAGGAGGTTGTTAAATATCTCTTAAATATCGCTTAAAATGATCCCGACTGTATCCTAAGCTCTACTGTCTGACAACAATGCTGATAGTATGCTAAGCTGATCTGGCTTGGGGAAATTGGGCGACAGTTTCCTAAGGTGTGAAAGAATTCTGATAGTATCCCATGCTTTCCTGGCTTGAAACAATCCTGATAGTATGCTAAGCTGATCTGACTTGGTGAAATTGGGTGATAGTTTCCTAAGGCGTGGAAGAATTCTGATAGTATCCCATTCGTTCCTGGTTGAAACAATCCTGATAGTAAGCTAAGCTGATCTGGCTTGGTGAAATTGGGCGATGGTTTCCTAAGGCGTGAAAGAATCCTGATTGCATCCCAAGCCTTTCGAGCTTGGTAAAAATGGTGGGCGATGGTATCCTAAGCTGTCCTGGCTTGAAAAATGGCAGGTAATGGTTTTAGCTCAGTAAAGGCAACGAAATGGTCGGAAGACAGGAGGTTGTTAAATATCTCTTGTCCAGTCAAAATCACTATTTCACAATCTAATTCAGTCCAATGCTAAGCTTATCTGAGAGTTGTCCTGGCTTAAAATGATCCCGACGGTATCCTAAGCTCTACTGTCTGACAACAATCCTGATAGAATGCTAAGCTGATCTGGCTTGATGAAATTGGGAGACAGTTTCCTATGGTGTGAAAGAACTCTGATAATATCCCATGCTTTCCATGCTTGAAACAATCCTGATAGTATGCTAAGCTGATCTGGCTAGGTGAAATTGGGCGATAGTTTCCTAAGGCGTGAAAGAATTCTGATAGTATCCCATGCTTTCCTGGTTGAAACAATCCTGATAGTAAGCTAAGCTGATCTGGCTTGGTGAAATTGGGCGATAGTTTCCTTAGGTGTGAAAGAATCCTGATTGCATCCCAACCCTTTCGAGCTTGGTAAAAATGGTGGGCGATGGTATCCTAAGCTGTCCTGGCTTGAAAAATTGCAGGCAATGGTTTTAGCTCGGTAAAAGAAAGGAAATGGTCGGAAGACAGGAGGTTGTTAAATATCTCTTGTCCAGTCAAAATCACTATTTCACAATCTAATTCAGTCCAATGCTAAGCTTATCTGAGAGTTGTCCTGGCTTAAAATGATCCCGACGGTATCCTAAGCTCTACTGTCTGACAACAATCCGGATAGTATGCTAAGCTGATCTGGCTTGGTGAAATTGGGCGACAGTTTCCTAAGGTGTGAAAGAATTCTGATAGTATCCCATGCTTTCCTTGCTTGAAACAATCCTGATAGTATGCTAAGCTGATCTGGCCTGGTGAAATTGGGCGATAGTTTCCTAAGGCTTGAAAGAATCCTGATTGCATCCCAAGCCTTTTGAGCTAGGTAAAAAGGGTGGGCGATGGTATCCTAAGCTGTCCTGGCTTGAAAAATGGCAGGCAATGGTTTTAGCTTGGTAAAGGCAACGAAATGGTCGGAAGACAGGAGGTTGTTAAATATCTCTTGTCCAGTCAAAATCACTATTTCACAATCTAATTCAGTCCAATGCTAAGCTTATCTGAGAGTTATCTTGGCTTAAAATGATCCCGATGGTATCCTAAGCTCTACTGTCTGACAACAATCCGGATAGTATGCTAAGCTGATCTGGCTTGGTGAAATTGGGCGACAGTTTCCTAAGGTGTGAAAGAATTCTGATAGTATCCCATGCTTTCCTGGCTTGAAACAATCCTGATAGTATGCTAAGCTGATCTGGCCTGGTGAAATTGGGCGATAGTTTCCTAAGGCGTGAAAGAATCCTGATTGCATCCCAAGCCTTTTGTGCTTGGTAAAAATGGTGGGCGATGGTATCCTAAGCTGTCCTGGCTTGAAAAATGGCAGGCAATGGTTTTAGCTCGGTAAAAGCAACGAAATGGTCGGAAGACGGGAGGTTGTTAAATATCTCTTAAATATGGCTTAAAATGATCCCGACTGTATCCTAAGCTCTACTGTCTGACAACAATCCTGATAGTATGCTAAGCTGATCTGGCTTGGTGAAAATGGGCGA